TAGTCGTTCCCACAGTCAAATCCTCCCGAGGGGGAGCAGGAGGAAGTGATCATGGACTGGCCAGAAGGCAGACATTTTGAAGCATCACCCAAGGAGGTGATTCATGACAAAGAGACCCCACTGTATAATATATTAGCAGAAAATGAAAAACAATATGCTGTATTTACTGATGGGTCCTGCCATATTGCGGGAAAGCATCAGAAATGGAAGGCTGCTGTGTGGAGTCCCACAAGACACATCACAGAAACAGTCACAGGCAAAGGCGAATCAAGTCAATTTGCAGAAGTGAAAACCATCCAGCTGGCCCTAGACATTGCTGAAAGAGAAAAGAGGCCAGTACTCTATCTCTACACTGACTCATGAATGGCAGCAAATGCTCTGTGGGGTGGTTACAGCAACAGAAGCTGACTAACTGGCAGCACAGAGGTAAGCCCATTTGGGCTCCTGCATTATGGCAAGCCATTGCTGCCCAGGTAGAGAACCTCATTGTAAAAGTATGTTACCTAGATACTCACATGCCAAGAGCCGTGCCACCTAAGAACATGGAAACAAGGAGCAGGTAGACCAGGCTGCCAGAACTGAAATGGCTAAGGTGGACCTAGACTGGGAACATACGGGCAAGCTGTTCATAGGTCAGTGGGCCCATGACACATCAGGACACCTCGGAAGAGGTGCAATGCATAGATGGGTTTGTGATCAAGGGGTGAGCCTGACCACTGAAGCCACTGAACAGGTTATCCATGAATGTGAAACATGCACCATGATCAAACAACTCAAGTGGGTAAAGCCTCTCCGCTGTGGAGAACAGTGGCTAGGAAAGACAGTGTGGGTTGCTCCTCCCCTCAGGAAAAGGCAAACCCCTTTGTGGGGTTCCTTTTGCTCAAGGGCCAGGGTGTACTTGGTGGGTAATGCAGGAGGATGGAGAAACCTGATGTGTATCGCAAGGAGATTTAATCTTGGGGGAAAATAATCCATGATTTGAGTTGTATGCATTAGCTGTATGTCAAAGTATTAGAGTTGGAGCCACTCAAACTGAGGATGAGCCTTGTAAGGAACCAGGCAAGACACAACTGGTTTCAATGCCCAACAACCCAACACCTATTAAAGCTCTACTTGTCATCTTTTTTTTTTTTTTGTCTTTTCCAAAGTATCTCCGCTTTACTTTTCTGTATGCAAAGTGCAGGAGTTCCCTCTAGAAACTAGAGGGAACTCGCACTAGGTGCTATCATTTCCTTACTCTTACATAGCACTAACCAGAGCAAGGTAACTGTAGTAATTTCAGATTTACACTACTGTAAATTTGAAGACCAGGTTCATGTGTCTGATTTGTCTGAAATGTAGATTCTCTTCTCACACACTTACAATGTTATAGCAATGTCACTAAGATGAAACAATGGATTGTAAAGTCATAAAAATACATAAATTATCATAGTGTCAGTGCTATGACATAACACTGGATTATCAGTAAAATGATTTGTGTTCTTGTGTGCTCACAGCTCTTATCTTGTTCACAGAAAATAAAAATTATTCTTGCGGAGTGCTTTGTTTCAAAATCCATTAGCAGAACTCGTTACTGAAAAATTGGAGAGTGCATCTCAGAAGACTGAGAAAAGGGCAAGATAAATTAATGATCATATTTGTGATTTGCGATTACATCGACTCAGAAAAATTTCAAGGTTTTGCTCACACTTCAAAACATGGATTTTATCTGTTGGTACCAGAAGGATCCCCACCCCTGTGGTACAAGAAATTTTGGTTTGTGAACCAGTAAGCATTGGTCATCTTTTTGTACCTTTCACTCCCCTTACACCAGCTATCACATGTTCAAATGCCTGACACCAACTCATTTTGGATACTTACTGAAAACACTGAAGACTCTATACTGCAGTTACATTCTGAAAAGTTATTTCAAATGGTAATGTCCTAACCAGAAAAAAATATTCTGAGTTACCACTCCTGTGCACATTGCTGTGGTTTTCTACTAAAGTGAAAATGGGCATAGAAAAAAAAAATACTAATGATTTTACTAACACAGAAAAAACAGTATGGCTATGAACATGACATGGAGCCATGGCTCATACACCAGAGCCTTGTGAACCTCTATTGAAATAACATGAACAACATAAAAAGTGTACCTATTTCATTTTGCCTTGTCTAGCTCTCATACATTTAGAGGAACAGCAATGGATCTGACCAGTCTGTATTGTAAGTAAATCTATACTGTCAGTAACAATGTATAAGCGCATAGGCAGTTTCCTGGTGAGACTGTAGAACTGGCAGGCAGAAAAACTGTTTCTTAATAGAGCAAAATGGATTAGAAATTGCCTGGACACAAATCAGGAATGATAAGCCACAATTTTCACTAACTCAACTAACAGAAAACTTAGTGGGTATTTTTTCATTTAAGTTCACAGAATCACAGAATGGCAAGGCTTGGAAGGGACCTCCGGAGATCATCTAGTCCAACCCCCCTGCTAAAGCAGGTTCACCTAGACCATGTTACACAGGACTTCATCCAGGCGGGCTTTGAATATCTCCAGAGAAGGAGACTCCACAACCCCCCTGGGCAGCCTGTTCCAGTGCTCCGTCACCCTCAAAGTAAAGAAGTTTTTCCTCATATTCAGCTGAAACCTCTTATGTTTCAGTTTGTACCCATTGCCCCTTGTCCTGTCGCTGGGCACCACTGCAAAGAGTCTGGCTCCATCCTCTTGACATCCACCCTTAAGATATTTGTATGTGTTGATGAGGTCCCCTCTCAGTCTTCTTTTCTTCAGGCTGAACAAGCCCAACTCTCTCAGCCTTTCCTCATAGGGGAGATGCTCCAGTCCCTTTATCATCCTTGTTGCTCTCCTCTGGACTCTTTCTAGGAGTTCCTCATCTTTCTTGAACCGGGGAGCCCAGAACTGGACACAGTACTCCAGGTGGGGTCTCACCAGGGCAGTTAAGTTATTTAATAGTGATTTTTTTTTTATTATTTATGTCAAGATAAACATATGAAAACACCCACTGCGGAAATGACAAAGAAAGATAAGTTGTGCGATGTCTGCTGACTTCATCTAATTGCGATATTTTAACCCCCTTTCCAGCACTGATCTCCTTTGCCTCCTGCCTAATGTTTTGCCTCCACTCTATTACCTAAGCACTTCATTATCTAATGCAGTAGGCTAACTGATGAATGTTGGAGATCCTGCACATACTTCTTCCTTCATCCTAGAAAATAGTTTCTTTCAAACCATGTTATGTTTGCTCATTAAAGATCTTCATGCAGACAGTGAGTTCTAGTAATAGGATTAACTCTGCTCAACCAAAACAGCTATCAGCTGAGCAGACAGATTAACAAGATCATCTCACGTGTTGCATGACTTCTTCTTCCTTCCTAATTCCAAACAGCAATTTATAAGACTAGGTTAAAACATGCTATAACAACAAGCTGAAAGGGTAAGAAACAACAGCTTAAAACGTTGTATTTCCATGGCAAACTAAAATCACACAGAACAATGTAAATGTTGTTATTTGTAAGTGACGGGCTACTCTATAAGTGAGGGTCAAAATCCCTTCCATATCCCAGATATATTTCTTCAACTGACATTTCTTACCCAGAATTAGGAAGATACGATTTATTCTGCTGAGGTAAACAAGTAAGGCCAATACAAAACATATGGGAGGGATGTTAAATACCCCGCTTCAAGAAGCTGGTTAGCTGCTGCATCATACCCAATCTGTTTGTTGCAGAGGATCCTAAATCACTTCTTACACGCTTCCTACATTAAGCTAACAACTGCACTGAATTTGACAAGTTCTCAGCAGATCTAAACAATCCATTAGCCAGAAGCAACTTAGTTACAGTACCGTTGAGTCTGGCAAGGACTCATTAGAACCAGCTTGGATGTATCTCCACCCCATCGGAGTCAAAAACCCACACAGCACCCACATTTACTCCAGTCCAGCTATTACAACCACAGAGACCCTCTTGCCCATTTCATTTTCCTAGTGAATTCGCAGACCAACCTTACCGAATCACTTCCTGATGCAGCCAGGGTGACACATCAAATCTCCCTTTCTCCCATCAGCTAGTCTAACAGGTACTTCAAACCTGCCTTCTAAAGGATGTACAAGTCACATGGTTGAAGTATGAAAAGATGCAGCAAGGCAAAGAGAGCCCAGCTGTGGTATTTTTGCTTTTATTCAAAGGTGAGTAAGAGTCCTGGGAAGATTCTCCCAGACTACAACAGTGCCCAAGACTTGGAGCTGCAGTGTACCATGATGGTCAAGCAGGAGAGAAAACATTCATATTGCACCATTCTTAACGTATCAGAGGCTGATGCTTTAGCTTGCACTAGTGGATGGAGAAGTCATTGCAGCTTACACCATCAGAGAAACCAGTCCACCCATCAATCTGTTGCAGATTCACAGGCTCTCAATGCTTAGCAGACTTTCAGCAGAGGATAAGTCTCAAGCTGCTTTCCTTCAGGGAAAAATAAAACTGTTCTACAATTCAAACAGCAAACAATTTTCATTTATCCTAGAGACTCTGATTGCATAAGGGGTCTCTGATCATAAATAAAATTTACACTATGACAGCAGCAGAGAAGGAGCTTAATTACAATGACAATATAACTCAATCTAGCCAATATTCTCATTTACTGTGCCAAAGATTTACTTCTGAATTTTTGTGCTTGGACTAGACCCAAGGAGCAAGAAAACCATAAATCCCCAGCTTATAGTGGGGTTCCACAAGGGGCTTTACCATTAACAGGTTGTACGTGAAGCATGTGACATTACACATTTTTACATTCATGGAGGGAATCTACCAGCTGAAGGCAACTTTAGGGTTGACAGATGAATGATCTGAATTTTCATTGCATGACCATCACCTGCTCCTATTGCCCCAAAGTGTCACCATTAATTCAGATACTACTAGAGAAAGCTCAACAGCAAGTCCCAGCTTTTTAAATGGCCAACAGGCTATAGTAATATATCGTCCATTAACAGCTACTTACTCCGCAGTACCGATCATCACTGAATATCTGTGGTGGCAGTGGATTGCCTTGTGCAGGCTGCCTATCCTCAGGAATATTTTTATACATCCATTGTCTTTTCTCCTCTGACATTGTGATATCCACTTCTTCAAACTCTATGCGATTGGCTTCCAGAAACCTCACCACATCTTGTTGCCTCTTCTTTATCTAGATGAAGGAAAGAAAAAAAAACAATACTCAGAGCAAGACCACCATAACCCAGACATGCTTACAAACCCGAGAACATTCCTCCTCTCCTGTCCCACTTTCACGGGACAAGAAGTCACAAACTCAAGAAGGCAAAGGAGAAATATTTTTTTCAGTTTTAAGTTCATAAAAGTTAAACACTGTTGTTTCTTTACAAGTTGGCAAAGGTTCATCACCTCATTTGTAGAAGGCTGTCTCAGTTCAACCATGGGGATTTCAGCCTTTACTCTCTAAAGATGCTTTAAAAAAATAATCTGTATGGGACTCTTCAGAAGTAGGAGTTCAAAGAGGTAGCTTGTTTTCAGAGTCATTAGGCCCTACATTTTTAAAGTATACAGGCATCTAGAAATGCAAGGTAAGCAACCTGGCAAGCCCCAGAAGAATCTACTCCGATAAGTGTTCATTGAGATAGACATGTTGGTACATCTAAAAAAAACCCACCCTGTCTACACACATTTTTGTTTTCCTAGACACCTACATATCTTTTAAAAATGCAGCTTGATGGTTCCCTGAACAAGGCTTGTTGAATCTTTAATTAAGAGTGTCTGTCTGCATAATACACATGCCTAAAAATAAGCATGATCTCATCTCTTAAAAATTAATTTCATTGCAAAAGAAAATGCATTAGGTTTGTACTAAATGTATGGGGTTTCTGCCCCTCAAGGACATTACCATTTTTATACAAAAGCCTAACAGGGGCAGAACACTGGCAGTTTTTAGCTCATTGTAGCTAACTAAGATGAACCCTTAACAGGTTAGCTGGGCTTCAAGGAGATACATTCAGGTGAAGACTACTTCTGCCTAAAGCAGGACTTGGTATCAAGATAGCAATCATTGAAATGAAAGTCTGTAGGGGCAAGGACAGCGACCTGGCCTCATTCAGCTAGGTCTGCTCTACAGTCTCTTCAGTCCATACCGTACTTTGTGCATCTACTTAACCAAATTAATTCTTTCAGAGAAGAACTATAAATTATATGCTATATTTTTTATAGTTATTGTCAACAGTGTTATTTGAAGAAAAAAAATACAGCTTTAATAATTTTACAGTATTCCTGGAGTGTCAGATCCACACAGTTGCTGACTGGCATAAAGCCCAGGTGGATGAATCATGCCTGTGGGTATCATATGACCTAGATACTATTTGGAAATCAGAGGATTTTTAAAGTGCATGTGCTAGTAGTTCTTGACACACAACCCATTCTGTCTACTTAAACGCACCTCAAAAATACATAATTTTGGAGGTAATGCTGATGGAAACATTGTTTCTTTGAAATAAGAGGGTAGCCATCCCAACAAACTGCAAAGACAAACCTCTTAAATGGTTAGTCTTTCTTAAGAAGTGGGCTGCATAGTAAGCTTGTGTCTCAGTGTCTTACTCTTTTTCCTTTTCTTACATATAGTGGTGGGTTTTGTTAGGCATATGTGAAAGGATCACTTTTTCATACAGAGGGCAGCTTCTAAAATCGTTTGCAAATAATGCATTATCAATGACAGCAAAGTCACTGCATCATCATCACTGCTGGTACCAAAGACAACATGTCTTTCACTGTCTCCCTAAAAATTGCAAAGACAAATTCTGTTGCCAGTGTAGAAATGAAAGTCAAAAGTATTGCCTTCTGTCTTTTGCCAAAAAAAGCTGCAAGAGTGGCCCAAAAGAGACAGAGACTGAGATTTTCTTAACATGAATATTGAGTATTTGTTCAAACAGAAATGAGACATCTAAAATAATGTGTGGGAGAGATCATTTCCTTATAGCGGAGTGCTGCTAAAACCAACATTAATTCCCTCCTGCACTGGTCAGAGCAACTAGCACACTACTGGCCCTGAGACCAAATGGCAACATCTGGCCAAGTCTATTAAACCTGCGCCCTCCCAAAGTGGCTGCATGCAAACTGTACATTGGGAATGATCCCTGGCATGCTGTAACACTTAAATCATGGCCACAAACTGTTTGTGAGACTGTAAGTAAGCCTTGGCCAAAACTGTCCATGCTGGCAACCAGTCTTCTAGCAGTTTCATGGTACCGAAGTACCAGAGCTCCATTGCTCAGGCCCAGGCCACATACCACATACACATATATCTGCACGTACCTAATTTCATCTGCTGTCTTACAGTAGTTCTGTACACTGGGCACAAATTTAACTGCAACTCAGATTTAATCGGATCCCTAATATTTTACTGTTCACACCATGAGAATTCTCCCACAAACCCACATTCCCTAATCTCTCCTTTTTATTTTTATAAAACTAATTAAGATGTTGAAGTGAAATAAATTGTGGGGTGGGGTTTTTTTTAGCCAGAAGCCTTGCAATTCTCCACACGACATCTGCATGAGTTATCAGCTGTGGATGTGCCAGCTGCATAAATTTAAACAAAATGCCCTGAAAATTTTTAGCCAAAAAAGTAGCATCTTCTCCTCCCCCAAGTGTTTTGATTCAAGCCTGTAAACTGAAACAAGAGCTTTAGTTACATTAAAAATCCTATTAAATTATGCTTTGTTGTTTAAGATGGATGCTCAGAGCATCTGCCACAACAGAAGCCAGCTGATTATTCCCCAAGAAAACCACAGGACCTTTGTCTTCCTCTGCAACTGGATCTGTGCCGCAGGAGTGCGTCAACCTCACAATCCTGCCTGCAGCTCTCGCCTGTGGTTGCTCTGAGCTATAAAAACTTCCAGCATTTGACCACATGAAACGCTGAGCAAAGACAGCACAACACAAAGAGCAGTGTCAGTTCTCCCTTCCTCACTAGCCTATGCAGAGGATCTGAGCTCCTGTCAAGAGCCCCCTGGAGAAAAATACATCCTCATTTGACAAACTATGGAGGTGGATACCTCGGTTCTCTTTGTGAAACTCAGCCTTGTACCTTGCTGCTTCCGAGGTTTCCAGAGTGTGACGAAACCAAAAGGAATCTGAAAAGAGTATCCATATAATCAGAAGTACCACGTTTGGAAAAACTTGGTTCAAGGCTATTCATACATCACTTTGGGAAAGCATGTGTATTTTTTACAGAATAGACTGCTTTAGCATCAAAATATTTTGGTTTTAATACATTTCAGCACACCAGAAGACACCATCAAAATACATATCCATTGTGAAGTTTCAGAGGAAAACACATCCCCCATTTAATTTTGTATTCTATAAAGAGACTGCAGCTTCCAGATACATCTTATTTATCTCACCTCAAACAGGCAGTTCCATGTTGACTTTTTTAAATTTCCTTGTAGTCATGAAAGAGTATTAGCCATAAATACAACTAGGAACAGGCAATATCATCTCTTTTTATTAAGCAGTGACAGTGACTTTGAAACAAAATCCATGCCTCTTTACATAATATGATCCTATTCCATCTTTAACATGGTGAAGAAAACTCTGATAGAGCTAATAGTCTACTATCATAATACGATGTTTGTTTCCCATATTTTTAGCAGGCTGATTGTTTTCTGAACATCATTTCTCTGGGTTTGGTTTTACTGTTAATCTATATTTTTATTCACAGAAGTAAGTCAGGAAAAAAACTCCCAGAGACATCTTCATTTTATCCTGGTATTTGAAGCTGGTCTCATTAGGATTAAAAAGCAGAAAAATAGGATGTCCATTCTGACATACAGAAGTGCTAAAATGAGCTAATCACTTGTTCAGTAGCCTAATTTACGGGGAAAAAAAAAAAAAAAAAAAAAGTCTGTCTTAGCTAAAATATCCCAGCTTCCTTCCCTATTCTTCATTTCTTTATACTGATTTGCAACCGGTAACAGGAGGATAAGCTTTCAGACTGCTTTGGAGAAATACTTCAAAGACATCCTCAGGCCAGGCCAGGTGGGACTGCTGGGATTATCTGTTCTGACCTTCAGCATCCCTGAATTAATTCCTCTTAGGAGTAAAGAGTTTCTTTGGATTTTTTTCCCCCTAAGCTCCATTCCTGAACTGATAATAACAAAGGATCTGCCAGCCTCTGTAAATTGTTCCCATAGTTAATTAGCTGCCTTCACTTAAAATATTTGCTTGCTTCTGTTCAGAATTCACCTCACTTCCAGCTGTCAGCCACTTTACTGTTTATATCTTCGCATAGACTGAAAACTCTTCTGTTAAAGATGTCTGTTTCCCATGCAAATAATCTGATGGGGAGAAACAGATCTCCCAGCTAACCTGAACAGTGATCCCCAGTAAACAGACAAGTCCAATTGCTCATTTGACAGCAGAATAAGGATGGAACCATCATAAGTCGTGTCCAGACTGGGCCAGACGTTTGGCAAAATCAGATCACATCCTCTATCTAAAATTCCCTGGAAGCTTCTCATCACTTCCAACAGGTCACATTTTCCTTCTTTCTTTCCCTCTCTATACTTCCCAAACCTGTTTTCAGAAGATCTTCTGTACTAGAAAGGCTTGCCTACTGACAGCTGTTGAACCAGAGGATTGTATCGTGTGGTATCCCCACTACTAAATGGCAGCAGTATTTCATTTTTCTCCACTATTTTAACCAAGATATTCAATACACTGCAAAAATCTCACTAGTCCAGGATTTATCTAACCCAGATAGGATGCGTGAATATTACTTCTACTATAAAATATGCAAGATGACTCAAGTAGCAGTATTAATAGTAACTGTGAAATAGCCATAATTAAAGAGAACTTCTCTGTCTTATTTCATTAGCCCAGTTAATATAAATGGGACAAAGCAGACACGTTCTCAGTTTCAATTCTCTTCACAGTGTCAGCAGGCACGTTGCCAAGTGGCTGTTGCCCATAAAGTGGACACGGGAGGTTCGTGGTCTCCTCTGGACTCTAACCCCCACCTCCTGGAGATAAGGCATTCCCTGGGCTTCAGTCCTCCTGCCTGCAAGCGGAGGGAATGACAGCACGTCCCATTCAGTGCGCTAGCTGGCAAGTGAGGTGTGTAGCACTGATTGTCCTGCAGCCTCTTCATCCTGGAGCTGAAGGACCAAAAGCTTAACCTGAACTGTCCACTCATTGCAGACAGACCCCAAGAAGAAATCGCCTGTTTTCTAACACAAAGCCCCACCCCAAAAAACATTCAGACCACACATTCTGAGAACAAGACGTTATGATGAATATCTTCTAAGCTGGCTTGTCAGACCACAAAACACATTTCAGAAGTCTAACATTTAAAAAAAAAACAAAACAGAATGCACGTCAAAGTCCACCTCAAAGACTGGTTTCACAGGCTGGCATATGTCTACCTAGACCCGTGCCTCTAAAGACGGAGATGCACCTGAAGGATCCCTTCCTTCTCTTTCAGTCTTGTTACTCTTTCCTGACCTCTGCCCTTACTCCAGAACTGCAGCAGCCATGTCACCCACCCACTGACTCAGCTGAAAACTGAATGTGTTGCATTTGGCAGGGGCACCTTTAGGGTGCAGTTTGATGATACAGCAAAGCAGATCTCACCGCTGGCTGTCACTGAGATGACGCAATGTTTCTCCCTCCTGCCAAGCAGCTCCTGCAGCTTTCCTTGCACAAGCATAATGCAGGAACCAGGGGAACAAGGGAAGCAGCATCAATAATGTCAGCACCACAGCCTCATCAGTTTATATCAGTAGCAGAACCACACCCTAAGAAAATGGCTCAGCAGAAGCTGAAGCATGGCCAGCTGCAGGTATTTGAAATATGAACTGCATAAACAGCATTTGTGTTACATAAACACAAGTTCCAGCTCACTCCCACAGCTGAAAATATCAAATGGGATGCCTCTGCCTTTATAAGTCATGCAAACATAACCAAAGGGATTGTTGCAGTGTAAAAGGCAGATGTAATATAGTTACCGCAGGGGATTACTAATCTTCACTTTTCATACAGATGAGGCTTAACACATATTCCCCGGTAATAAGGAGACACTACGTTCTCACAAAGAGATGCAAGCCCTAACCACATCAGATGAACAGAACTCTAAACAATGTTAACTGCAAACCTACACATACCTTCCTTAGAAAAGCAAGGAGGAGGCAAACACACTAAGCGACATCTGCATTCTTTTATTCTGTTTCCACCACGTTTCTGCTTTCATACAGAAGCAATGAAAAACAACCTCACACATTCACCAAGGCTGACATAGAAATCCTCATGGTCCTGTTACAATTACAACCTGACAGAGACTTCCTGCCGATTCTTTTTTCTTTGCCTGGCTTAGGAAAGGAGAGTACAGCTGACCCCTGGCAATTTTTATTGCAGAGAGATGGTAGTGCTGTGGCAGACCTTTACAAAGGTTCATACGACTAATTCATTGGGTTTGGCGCAGGAAAATACAACTCGGCTACGTATGTGGGGAAAAGAGGTGAGAAGCTGTGGTGAGGTGAACGAAGGTAATAAAGAAGAAATTTTAAAAATAAAAATAAAAATAAAAAATCAGCATTACACAACTATTCCCAGAAGTAAAGTGTGTGCCTACCTGCCGTAACAAATACTGCATTACATGTGATAGAAGGAAAATGCAGTCTCCTCGGAACAGACCTCCAAATAGCTAAAAGCACCTTCAACGCTTCATCCTCAAGAAAAAATGAATGTTAATGTTTCAAAATCCTAAAAACTGACCACAGAACTTTTCAATCTGAAAAGAAACACAACAGTCCCTGAACAGTGGCCACATGCAGCCTGCACTGCCCTGGTGTCCTGCTAGCAGCCATCTTCCACTTGCATACAGAGACATAATTAAGGACACGCCATATGAAATACTCTATTGAACTGAGAGGGCAATCTGTTCAGCTTTAGGCAAAATAAGTTTGCAGGTCCCTGGGAGCTGCTGAGACACTGCTTAGCCAGGCAATCTGCACACCTTTACCTGTGTGCAATGTATGTATGGTGTCTTCAGAAAGAGTCCGGTATTTAAGAAATGCAATTAAAATCTGAGCCAGGTTTGTTTTTTAAAAGACTCCTAATCACAAGCCGTCAGCAAAGGAAAACATATTATTCCCTTTTTCAATACAACTACAGAAGACAGTAAACTGCTCCATCCCAATGCCTGCTAACCTTGTATTTTCCTTGTCAGATGTTGCACTATGATAAAATGCATTTAAATCTTATTTCTGTGTATGCACGCCTATTACAAGTTGAAGGGGAAAGTTTCTCATTTAATATTTTTTTTATTAAGAAAATAATGTTCTCTGTGCAAGTAACAAAGTAACACTCAGAAACACGAAGGAGTCTTTAGCAAGTACAAATACATCTATCACTGCGAAAACCAAGAGATAATGGGAGTTTGCTCAGGGGGTTATTTGGTATTACTTCAGTAAGCATGTAAGAGAAAAGGCGAGACAGATATGGAACAAAGAGAAAAAGGGGAAAGACCAAGAAAGGAAAAAGAGAAAGTTCTACAGAAATAACGGCTACAGGCAGTGCCATGCAGGGGCCTTTGAGCTGTGTGCAGCTGAGAAAGCCTCTCAAGTCACTCCTGAGTCTACTTCTATTTCTTCTGTTTCGGGAAACATGAACCAATGGTGTACACAAATGAAGTGATTCTATCATCATTTTCTTCTTGCAGTAGTAACAATGTGTTCCTACAGTGTTGAAAATCCACTTGCTTATGAGTCTCTGAAGGACTGGAGGAAATCAGATGCTATGAGACCCAAATCTTGGCTTATTACTTCCCATGAAAAGATCAAGAATACCACTGAAGTTGGATCTTCCAATTAATTACATGAATTTGTATTCTGTTGCATCAATGTGAAACCAAAAAAAACCAGCATTGCTTGTGGAAATAAAAAATGGTTAAAACAAAGTGAAACTTGAAGACTTTGCAACAGGAACTGAAGCAGAACTTGGAAGTCCCACTGAGTGCATGGGCAGACAGCTCCAAATCAGAGAGACCTTGACAGACTAGCAGCCAGAGGACTCCGTGCAGGTTGAGAAAAGTAGCGAAAGGATTCCCAGCCTCACCTGGCAAGCAGCAGGTGACTGA